TAGATAGATAGATGATAGATAGATAGATAGATAGATAGATAGATAGATAGAGATAGATGATAGATAGATAGATGATAAATTTTTTTAATCTCTAAAACTTGGACTCTAACAGTATCACATCTTTCCCCTCACAGACACTTCAATTTTTTTTCTTTTCAAAGTAAATTCAATATCTATCATTGTCTTTACTCACACTATACACTTCCTACTGTTAATTTCATTAATTAAAATCCCAGTATATTTGGTTTAGCCTCCAATAGGTATTGAAGTCATAGGGGCTATTATTCCTAATTGGCTAGTACAATATTTGCACAGTGGTACAGCTATGTTTACTCTCACAGTTAATATTCTACTCAGGGAGTAACATAGAAATTGCACTAACCACCCTGAGTTCCTAGACTGAGGAACTATTTTCTGAACTACACACTTCAATTCTACCACATCCAATTCCCACTGCAAATACTTCAACTGAAATGCTATAGCTGATAAGAAAAAGAAAAAAGAGGGCTGGGGAGATGGCTCAGTGGTTAAGAATATTGTTCTTGCAGAAGACCAGGGTTCGAATCCCAGCACTCACATGGCAGCTTACAACTGTCTATAACTCCAGTTCCAGGGGATCTGAATGCCTCTTCTGCCCTCTGCGGGCATTGCACGACATGGGTGCACTTACCTACATGCAGGCAATACATACATACACATAAAATAAAAATAATAAAGTATTTTTTAAAGAGAAAAAGAGAAAAGAAAGACAGAGGAGCAAGCAACAAAATAACAATGCATAAATCCTGAGACAGCATAATAAAGATGAAAAACAAAAGCAAGATAAGTACCCCAAAATTACTAATCCTATAGTAATATTGTCCAGTGAGAGTAAGGTAGATGAAATCCCAGAAAACTCAAAAGAGTGATTATAACTATGTTCAAATAAATCAAAGAAGAAAATAAGGTCCAGTGGGACCAACAAGGTGGCTCAGTGAGTAAAAGTACTTGTTGTACAAGCCTGATGACCTAAGTTCCATCCATGGTGGAAGAAGAAAACAATTCTCAAAAGTTATATGCTGGGGGCTAGTGAGATGGCTGGGTGGTTTAGAACACTGGCTGCTCTTGCAGAGGACCTACATGGCAGTTAACAACCATCCGTAACTCCACTTCCAGGGAATCCAATGCCCTCTTCTGACATCCTCGGCATTGCACACATGTGATGTAATTACATACATGCAGGCAAAACACTCATACACATAAAATAAAAATAAATATTTAAAAAGTTATACTCTGACCTCCATATGAATGTAGTGGCACACAGGTTCACACATGTGTACATCATACACACATATGCATGCATGCATGCATGCATACACACACACTAATAATAAATTTTTGTTATTGTTCTTTTTGAGACGGTCTCCCTGTAGCCCCAGCTGTCCTGGAACTCACTATGTAGACCAGGCTGGCCTTGAACTCACAGAGATCTGCCTGCCTCTCCCTCCCAAGTGCTGGTATTAAAGGCACGTGCCACCATGCCTGGCTATAGTAAATTTTTTCTAAAACAAAAGAAAATAAGCTCCTGATCAAGAACACAAACAAGCTGGGCATGGTGGCCCACACCTTTAATCTCAGCATGCAGAAGGCAGAGGCAAGAGGATCTCTGTGAGCTCAAAGCCAGCTGGGGCTACAAGGAGACCCTGTCTCAAAAAGACCAAAAAATAAAAAATAAAATAAAAAGAAAGAAAAGAAAAAGAATAGAATAAAAATAGCTGCATCTCACCAATAAATCAAGGAGAGGACAGAATATCTGAACTTGAAGATAAGATGGAGGAATTGGAACTTAGAGCAATTCAATAAGATCAAGGATAGTGAGGAGGTATGAGTGGAAATTCCAAGATAAACAAAACATTATGAAAAGACCAAATGAATATAGGAGGCACAGATACAGTCTTTTTGTTGTTTGTTTTGTTTTGTCTTTTTTTTCCCTTTGTCTTTTTGAGACAGGGTCTCCTTGTAGCCCCAGCTGTCCTGGAACTCACTGTGTAGACCAGGCTGGCCTTGAGCTCACAGAGATCCACCTGCCTCTGCTTCCCAAGTGCTGGGATTAAAGGCGTAAGTCACCACGCCTGGCTTTTAAGATAAAAATTTAAATCACAGAACACATACAGATTTTTTAAACATTTCCTATTTCATAATCTATACACTTTAGTAAAGCTAGCTACATAAAAGTGGGAATTGTCATAATATTAAAATATGCACATTCAGTATCTCCAAGTTATTGAACCTAGTAACCTACTAGGATCAAAATTCATGGATTGCCAATTACTTATAGAAATAGCACAGTACTTGTCTATAGCTTATGCATACTCTTTTGGATACTTTAAGCCTTCTCTAGAAGCCGTATAGTGATTAATGTGGTGTAGATGCTATGTAAACAAATGTTTTTGGGTTTTTTTGGTCTTTTTGAGACAGGGTCTCCCTGTAGTCCCAGCTGTCCTGGAACTCACTATGTAGACCAGGCTGGCCTTGAGCTCACAGAGATCCACCTGTCTCTGCCTCCCAAGTGCTGGGACTAAAGTCATGCACCACCACACCCGGCAACAGTTGTTATATCATATTGCATAGGAGCTAAAAACAAAGTCTGTCCATTTTCTTTTTTTATAGTTAAGAATTTTTAAAATTAAATCTTTTTGTTTATTTGTTTTTTGGTCTTTTTGAGACAGGGTCTCCCTGTAGCCCCAGCTGCCCTGGACCTCACTAGGTAGACGAGGCTGGCCTCGAACTCAGAGATCCGCTTGCCTCTGCCTCCCAAGGGCTGGGATTAAAGTGCTGTGCCACCATGCCTGGCCTAAAAATTAAGTCTTTAAAAAACTTACATTCTACTAAATTGAAAAATCTTTTAAAAAATTGATGAATTTGTAGATGCTTTTGACCTACAAAAATGAAACAAAGATGAGATAACAATTTAAATAGATTTATAACAAGCAGTGGTTAAGAGCACTAACTGCTCTCAGGTTCAATTCCCAGCACCCACATGGTGGCTAACAACTATC